CTCCGTGTTTAATTTACACGGCATAACAAAAGGTAGAGCTCACCACTGAGTGCGAGACACTTTGCCGTGTCACATAATATGTTGACATCTCCCCTTCCCACGCGTCATTTATATGAACGTACCGTGTCAATTTGGAGCTGTCTGGTAAATTACAGGAACAGAACAAGGAGGTGGGATGCATTAGAAGTTTTTCATTAGGCTTTAGAGTGAGAAAGCAGGAGGGAAGTGTGTGCCTGGAGGCAGGGGTGTAGCTGGGAGAGCTTGGGGTGGGGGCTCTGGGGATCGCGGCAGCCCTGGCTCTATCCTTTTAATCAGAACTTCAGTATGTCGATGGGGTTACCAAATTCAGGATATTAATTTGTAGGCGCTTTTGGGATGCGATCAGGGATGCTCTAAAGACAAGAGAAAAACTTCATCTGCCCTCACTGTGTTGGGAACTCACCAGCGTTACAAACCCGGTGCCCACACACACAAAATGGGGGGAAAAAATCCCCATTTTTCTCCCCCTTTAGGAGATGGGGGGGCAGCAGCCCCGGCTGCACGGGCTGTGCCTTCCCGGGGGGGCTGGTGGCAGCAGGTCCCCCCCAGCACAGCCCCACGGCTGCAGCCCCAGCCCTGGGGGGGACAGGGGACCCTCGCCAGGATGGCAGGGCTGGTCTCATGGTCTCCGTCAGGGAACCCTACATTGGGTCTGGGTAACTGCATTAAGGTATTTCCTTAATTAGATTTACTATGTAGGATTCTCATTCTTTCTTCTCTCCTGATTTGCCTAATGAGAAAAACAGAGATGGGGGGGCAGCAGCCCCGGCTGCACGGGCTGTGCCTTCCCGGGGGGGCTGGTGGCAGCAGGTCCCCCCCAGCACAGCCCCACGGCTGCAGCCCCAGCCCTGGGGGGGACAGGGGACCCTCGCCAGGATGGCAGGGCTGGTCTCATGGTCTCCGTCAGGGAACCCTACATTGGGTCTGGGTAACTGCATTAAGGTATTTCCTTAATTAGATTTACTATGTAGGATTCTCATTCTTTCTTCTCTCCTGATTTGCCTAATGAGAAAAACAAGGAAATAAAATTACAAAAGCGATGCCTGGGTTGCCTTCCAGGAAGGCGGGTGTCCTCTGTGCAGCCCGGGAGGATGCTCTCCCCTGTCCCTGCGCTGGGGCTCGGGGGTATCAGGGCTGGGCAGACACTGGGTGCTGCCTGTGGGCAGTGATCGCAGCACCGTGGCCCTTGGTGGCGTTACCAGCCCTTGAGCCGCGCGTCTGCCACGGTGCCGGGAGGGGAGTGACAGCAGAGGCCGTGCTGGAGCCGTGCTGAGGACAGGCTTCAGCTCATCACACTGTTCCTGCTCTCCTTCCCCACCCTGTCCTCTCCCTGCTTCCTCATTGCCCTCTTGTGTTGTGTCTGTGCTGCGGCTGCTCAGGCAGGTGATGTGATCTCCTCCTGCCCTGCGCCGTCCTGGGGGGGCTGGGGAAGAGCCTTGAGCATCTCAGGAGGGCTGGTGCAGAGGGGCAAGGGGGGCCATGGGGTGAGGGGGGCGGCAGAGACAGTGATGCTCACATACCATGGCATCCTCCAGCCGGTCTCTGGCTTTACAGAGAAGCCCCCGGGGGGAACGACTGTCCTGAGGCCGCTTCCCGGGTGCCCCTCTGTGGGTGGGAGCTGGTGCTGGGGCCGTGGGGAGCTGCACGGTGTCCCCCGGTCCTGGTCCTGGCCAGAGTGATCGCCGGGGTCCTTTGCTGTGGTTTGGGCTCTGCAGACACTTGTACCCTGGGGCTGTTGGGGTGCGATTCACGGTGCGAGGGCTGCCCCCCCGGGCACCCGCTGCCCCTGGCAGCCTCCTCAGGGGAGATCCCCGGGGGCCGCTTCTCGTGCGAGCTGGTGCACAGATAGAGACGGGCTGATCTTCCTCATGATTCATTTATCATCCCGTGAGGGTAATCTGTTTGGGAACTGGGCTGATGGCCCCTGACCCCGCGGCTGACGACGGGCTGAATCACCCCGGGCCGTGGCTGCCGCTCCGTGTAACGTATTTCCAGCGCGCGGAGGCTAATTACAGGCGGTGGCTGGTGAATGGGTTTGTTTTGCTCTCCCCGGAATTGCAGGAGCAGTTCCAGCAGTTTGGCCCCAAAGCAGCAATCGGCATGTGACAGAGGAACACGTTGTTAAGTTGTGTGAGTGATTTTATAATACTTAGAATATGATGCTATGGCAACCTGTTACAAACCCCAGATCAAATCAATTTATTTGTGTGCATCCCTGTAACTTTAATCTTTGCAAAGTCTGATACGTTTTATGCCTTTGAGGCCACTGTGCAGATTAGTGCAATCAGGCAGAGCTCAGGGTTCAAAGCAAGGAGAGCAAAGGATGAGTGCTTTGCTGCAGACCAGGCTAAGTGTCCTAGAAAGTCAAAGAGCAAACAGTAAAAATCTGTCATCCTGGGCATTTTTTCAGCAGTGGAGTCACGGTGAGTTCGTGAAGAGGAGAAAGGGAAGGAGCTCGATAAACAGTAAGGGCAGGCAGGACATGAATTCTGCTATTGCCCATACACAATCCCACATCGTTTTAATTCGTTTCTTGCATTGAAAAACTGAAAGATGCTGAGAGCTTAAATGTGACTGTGATAATGTAAGGTGAATTTGACCTGCTCTAATTTAAAAAACACCAAGGAAAAAAGACATATATTGGTTTAATGTAATGTCAAATGTCAGTCATTGGTCCAGATTCATGTTTGGACAGAAACCTCTGGGTATTTCCCCCGTGACTCCAGCTGCATTGCAGGCACGGCCCTCGGTGCCCTGTGGCTGCGGTGGGGATGGGGACGGGGACGGGTGCTGCTGGTCCTGCTTTGCCTTCACCCCTCAGCTGCAGGGCAGCTTTTTGCTCCACTCCATGGCTTTGCAGCCCAGAGCGTCCCCTTTCCTCCGGCCGTGCTGGTCCCCTGTGCCCCACCTGGGCTGGTCTCACACCTCTGGGACAGAATTATGGGCTTGAACTCCAGCCCTGAATTTCCCCCTGACCCGCAGCCAGTGTTCCCTTGGCTACCACCAGAGTCCATTAATTCTTGTTCCTTGGTGGTTGACTAATGAGAACTATTGATCTGTGTCCCGTTGGTCCCTCCCTTCCCTTGGTTACAGGTGCCGAGCTCCTGCTGCTCCTGTCCCCGTCCGTGCAGTGCATCCATTCACAGCACGGACTGGCAGCCCCCAGCCAAACCCAACGGTGCCGGCCGCCAGGACGGGGCTCCAGGCACTGCTGGCTCCGGCTGCTCTCCACTGCTCTGCCGTGAAGCTGGGCCCGCAGCGACAGGGAGAGATGCCAAATCCCAGTGGGGACTGGCTGGGATCCCGCAGCGAGGGGCTGCGGCCGGGCAGGAGGCTGTGGTGACCTCCTGCGACCCACAGCGGGCAGGGGGCTTTCTCCTGAATGCTTGTCTACAGGCACACGGATATGTGTGTGTGTGTGTACGTGTACATCTGTGTGTTTCGAGGTGGAGTCAGGTCTCAGCTGGAACAGCAGTCAGCTGTTGTGCAGACGGGCAGGAAGAGCAGGAGCCAGCCTTCCCCGGGCTCCGCTTCGGTCCCGCCTGAGCAGGGAGGCAGCCCGACAGCCGCTCCTTCGCTGGCGCAGCCAAGGCTATGGCTTTGGTCCCACCGTGTCTTGTAGAAAACTCACCTGTGGTGCCTGCTGCACCCCCACTGCATCCTCCCTGCTTCCCCACTGCCTCCCCACAGCATCCTCCCTGCTTCCCCACTGCCTCCCCACTGCATCCTCCCTGCTGCACCCCCACTGCCTCCCCACAGCATCCTCCCTGCCTCCCCACTGCATCCTCCCTCCTACATCCCCGCTGCCTCCTCACTGCCTCCCCGCAGCGCACGGCCCAGACGAGGAGGGGCTGCGGGCACCGAAGCCTCCCCGTGACCAGCATGTGGTTGTCACCTGTTGTCACGAGAGCCGGGGCTGGTTGAGGGGGGCAGGAGGGGGGCAGTGGGGTGTGTGGGGAGGGCAGGCGCTGCAGGAGGTGGGGTGGGTACCCTGGGGCAGGAGCTGTGTGCTTTGGAGAAGGCCCCGGCGGGCATCGGTGCCCGGCTGCTGTGCCCGCTGTGCCGTGCCATCCTGGGGCGGGCTGCCATGGGAACCAAACCTCGTTACTGCGAGATAAACAGTTGGACATTTTGGCCCGGTTTCTGCAGGACTAACCAGGCAGGGAGGAGAGGAAACTAAATTAAATCTCAGATTTTCAGACTCTCAGAGTAGCATCTGGCAGCGCTGCTGCGAGCGGCGGCTTGGTCGTCTGCCTGGGAAGCCGTTGGTGTGACCGGGACAGGGTGTTTTTATCAGATGATCAGTGGGGAGGCTGGGGTTGTGCCTTTTCAGGGTTTGGGGGGCTTTTGTGTGATGCTTTCATGGCAGGTCTGTGGCACGGGGGCTGCTCCTGACTTCCTTGGAGTCTCGTGTCCTCATGACACCTTTTGCTGCCTCCGAATTCAGCGCTCGGGTGCCCTGTGGCAGAGCTGCCCTTGTCTGGGTCCTGCCAAGCCCGTGCCGGGGTGTCCCCGGGTTTTATGCTGGCGCCATCGAGCCAGAAGCCTCCTCTGCCGTCCACGGCACCCGGGAGGCCGATCGGCCACGGATCCTGCCCAGGGAGAGGTGCCAGATGGAGGGAAACTGTGGGGATGGGTTGTCATAGAAACCCGTTCCTGCTGTCCCTGCTACAGCCCAGCACCCCAGCCCCGCAGCCGGGCTCCGGTGGGCTCCCCGGGATGGAGCCCGGGCACTTGGTGGGGCAGCAAGGGGTCCCGGCCCGCCCTGGGCACGGGGCTCTACAGATGACTTTTATCATCTTTTTATGTTGTCTGTTTCATTTTTTCTCAGATTGGAGGTATTATTGTACAGGCAGCCCACACGCCCGCGGCTTTGCCAGAGGAGATAAGCCCTTATCTCCCGCCTCGCGCTGCTGCTGGGGGCGCGGGGGGAGCTGACACCCCTGCCTTTGGTTTTTCAGGAAACAGGAGCTGCTGAACAGCACGGATGTGACCGTCCCGGAGCGGCCGCTGTCACCCCCCCTCACCGCCCCACCGACCATGAAGGTGAGTGCGCGGGCGATGCCGAGCCGTGGGCGCGCGGTCCAGCCGAGGTGCTGCTTTTGGAAAGCCAAGCTGGTGAGGAGCAGCACTTCCAACGCAGCGGCTGTACGGATTGGGGCTGTTCCCGAGGGAGCAGCAGGAGGTGGTTTCTGGAGCTCAGCCCGCGGCGTGTTCCCGCTCCCCCGGCGGCGGCGGGGCCTGCGTGCCCCCTCCTGCTCCTGCTCCTCACCTCACGCCACCGCGAGCGGCGATGCCAGGCTGGGTGTGGAATCCCAGCGCTGTTATCCCTCTGATAACCCCTCCGGGCACCCTGGGGGTGGCTTCTTGCCAGCCCCAGGCAGACGGTGACGCACAGTCCCTGGCAGGGTCTGACCCACCGCTCGGCCGCTGCCTTTTGCAGGTGGTGGGACACGATGCTCCCCCTCTGCCCGTGCCTCGGCAGGGCTCTGCCCCTCCTGCAGTTTTCCCAAACCCAACGGGAGAAGGTCAGGAGCGACCTGGTCAGACCTGGAAGCTGGTCCTGCTCAAGCCGGGGTTGACCAGACACCTCGGCAGCCCCAGGTATCTCGCTCACACGAGCGCAGGGTGTGCAGCCCTGTGCCGAGCACTGTCCTGGGGCAAAGCATCAGAGCTAATTCAGCTAAACAGGATAAAACACAGCAGGAGTTCACTACAAGTACCTTCGGTCAGAGTAACCCGAATTTCTGTGATAGCAGAGTTTCAAGACAAAGGGAATTGTAGCTCTTCCCCCGGGTTGCTGCAGAGCGCTCGATACGCTGCCACGAGGGAAATTACTCATTAAGCTGGAGAAGATGAGATGAACGTGAAGATTGTGAGGTGGCTGCGAACCTGGTTGAATGGTTGTTAGGAACAAGCGGGCTTGGAAATAGAGAATTGAGTTGGAGGAGTTTATTAGTGGAGCTTCTGACAATTTGGCTTATTTAGGGTTTTGTGTCTGACCTGGGTACACAAAGCAGCCAGGACCTCACACTGCACTGGTGACACGAGCTGTGGCACCTTGTTGGGGTGCAGAGGGGGGGATTCTGGGGGGTGGGTTGAAGCCTGGAGTGATGGAGGGAGTGGGGACGTGCCTCGGGGGAGATCCTGTGCCGCAGCAAGTGTCCGTGTTCCTCACGTGGGCTGTCCCAGCCAAGCTCCACATCCCCAGCCTGCCCTGCGGGAGGAAACAAATTGGTGAAGCAATTTATTTTGCCGTGCAGGAAGGTGGTAAATTGCTTGGTGACACCTGGCTGGAGCTCAGGCAGGACTTTCTGTGACCGTGAGTGCTGCAGGACCGCAGCATCCCCGGGGCTCATCCTGCTGCCGTGCTGCCTCCTGCCTTCCCAGGGTGTACAGCAGCACCTGTGTCCTGAGAGGGTCTGCCTTTGCCCTTGGCCTCATCATGTTTAAATGGAAATTCTGCCTTTTAATGAGCCTCAGAGCCGAGCAGGCTGAGCCCCGCTGTGTGGTTGTGGAGGTGGCCACCAATGGTCCCTGCCTGGGTGCTGCTGCAGGGGGGGCTACGGGGGGAGACCCCAGGCTTGCTGCAGGCTGGGGGTACGGCTGCTCCTCAGCTGGAGCTGGGTGGTCAGCAGGAGGTCAGGCTCTTCACCGATGTCCAAACTCCAGCTTGGGGCTTCCCTCAGCATGGGAAACTTGGCAGGGAAACCCATGGAAAGCCTGGCATGGAAACAGTGTGTAGATGCGACTCCGTGTGCTCCAGGTAACACAAGCTCCCCAAAAGCGAGCGCTGAGGTCTGTCCCTGCGTCTCAAAGATGGGCATTCCCTCTCCCACCGCGAGGCACACAGCCCATGGGGGGCTGGGGGGGCTGTGCCGGGGGGAGAGACCAGCCATGGCTTTGGCTGAGGACACCCGGGGGGGTCTGCCCTCCGTGGGCACGGCTGGAGGCTGCCGGTTTCACCGCTGGCTCTTCGTTTTTATAATCACGTAATTAAAGCAATTAAAAGGCGATTACCGATTTGTTCTGCTTTGCAGCAGGATTAAAGGGCTCCAGAATCTCGTGCAGATGGTACAGGTTGTCCTTTTGGAAAGGCGAGGCAGAGCTGGGTGCCCGCAGCATGTGCTCCCTCCCTCCTCCCCTCCGTCCCCACGGCACCGGCCGTGGCCGAGCCGCCCGCGCTGGCACCCCGGCGGGGCAGCGGCACAGGGGGGTCCTGCGCCTTACCTGGACACTGCTTTGCCAGGCACAGGGAGCTCCAGAGGTGCCAAACGGGAATAATTCCTTCAGGCTGGGGGCTGTCCGGGAGCCACTGGGTTTTGTTTGTGCGTCCGCCTGTTTGGAGCTGCCCTGTGGCCCTGCTGCCACCCTGCTCGCAGCCGCGTCGGCTCCGGAGAGGCAGGGGCTGGTAGGTACCTGCTGACATTCAGGAGGTGGAAGGGGAGATGGCAGGAAGGGGAGATGGCAGGGATTAAGGAGCCATCAGGTTGACAAAGGGAGAGCTGGGGTGGCTTTGTGGCTGGGAGCCAGAGACCTGGTCCTTCTGGAGAGGTCGGTTGGTCCCCGGGCTGTGGGGGTGGGTGATGGGTCCCAGGTGGTGGCTCCACGCTGGCGCGGCCAAGCCTGCCAGGAGATGCTCTGCGGTGGGAGTGGGTTTGGTCAGTGTCCTCGGTGCCCATCCTGCTCTGCCCTGCTCTTGGGAGACTTTAAGGTGCTTCCCGGAGATCTGTGCCAGACTTAGTGTCACGGAGAGGGACAAGGGGTGGGTAGGGGAAAGGGGGAGCAGGGACGGGAGCGAGTCCCCGGCAGCTGGGGCTGCCCATGCTGTGGCACAGCCATGCTGGCATTTTGGCCAAAGCAGTCGTGTCCTGCCTCCTCCCTGGGCATTGGTGGGACAGGAAGGTGCTGTAGGTGCTATGCCAAGTCCACAGCTCCTGGGTCAGCAGGATGGGTTGTCCTGAGCTGACTCTGAGAGGATTTGATGTTGGGATTCGTTCAGCTCCTTTGAAGGGCTGTGACTTTTTTGTGCACACGGATTTCCAGTTGGAGAGGTTGGATTTTCTGTCTCCTGCCCAGCACCTGGTTCCTGCTGCAGCTCTCCCATGTGAGTGCCCTCCCGAGGGATGCAGCACGTTCCCCCTGGGGCTGTGCAGCCCCTTCATGGGTCCATGCATCCCCCCGTGGGGCCGTGCATCCTGGCAGACGCCTGCCCATCCTTTGCCAGCCCTCACCGCTTCCTGCCCAACCAGTTTGGGGCCCTTGGCCTCGCAGGGCAGCCACCCTTTGAAATAACAAAGCTGTGGTGCTGCCGAGCCTCTGCCTTGGAGAAACATTAACGAGGGAAGGTGGGGCACGATGGCCAAGCTGGGGAGGGGGGGGACCCGGGCAGATGATGGATTTCTTACGGGGCTTACTGGTGAGTGCTGGGTGAGTCGGGGAGGGTGCTGGGCTCTGCCCTGCCATGTGCCATCCTTGGCAGCCCCTGCTGCTGCAGGGTTTTCCTTCTGGGTGTCATTTTCTTCAGAACCCTTCAAAGGGGGCACCCACCGTCTGCGCTGCAGCTTCTACTGGGGTTGCTCCTTGGCCGCAGGTCCCGGCGCCCTAAACTCACCCCTGGGGCACTGGGGGGGTGGGATGGACACTGTGTGCTCCAGACACTCCCTTTGGACCCAGGGTCTGGCCAGGTGCTGATGGGGAGGAATCATCACTTCCCTGTGCTGAAGCAGCGGGATGTGTGGGTACGTCCCCTCTCACGCTGCCAGGGTAGCAGGCTCAGCAGCCAGGGGTGAGGACACGAGGGCAGGAAGGGAACAGTACAGCTGCTATTGAGCGTTTTGCATTTCTGAGGTGGTTGGGACAGGACAGGCTGCCGGGCAGGTTTGTGCTGCCCAAGGTGTCAGGGGAAGCGCTGCCCGCGCTGGCGTTGCTTTGGCTGCATTTGGGATGCAGTTGGGGGTTCAGTTTGGAGCCTCAGCGACCCGAGGGGGGCGAGTGCAGCCTGTCCCATGGCCAGTGACATTGCTTCCTGCCAGGCGTCACAAAGCTCTGATTGTCTCCACTATAATTAACCAAAATATTTGTGGCCCTGTAAAGCTTGGTCTCAAGTATGCATAAATCCCTGAAGGGCACAGACTGCTGTCTGCTCTGCTAAATACCTGTATGAGTTTTCTGCTGGAATTTCCTCCAGCAGGTGGGTCCGGGGCTGCTCTGGTTCTGGCCCCCACCCTGGCAGAGCGGGACCTGGAAACTGTTCCAATTGACTCAACAGAGCATTTGTCCATCACAGAGAGAAATGGAATCTAAACCGAGCTGAAAATAAGGAAAAGTCTTTTTAAACTGCTCCCAGCTTTGGGCACAGAGCTCGTCTGAGCCCGGGGCTCGTTTTTCCTGCTGCAGGTGAGGTAGATAAAGACGGGGCATAGTCTGGGGCAGGGTGTATCCCCAGCCAGGGCAGTCCCCGCCAGTCTGGGCAGCGTCGTTCCCCATCCCAGCGGGTGCAGCTGAGAGCAGTCACTGGGCTGCTCGGGCCATAAAACTAACCTTTGCTCACCACATTTATTAAAAGAGAAATCTCTCTGAGATTTTCCCTTGGTCTTTGATTTTCGTTTCTTCTTCTCCTCCTCTGGTTTTTTCCTATCTGGGAATCTGTCCCTTGGGTCATTTGGGGTCACTGTCCTGGCCATGTCCCCTCCCAGCCCATCACCAGTGGGGCTGTGAGGAGAAGAAAAGGCCTTGAGAGCTCAGCAACAACTGAAACCACCACTGTACTATCAAAAGTATTTCTCATCCCAAATCCAGACCGTAGCACTATACCGGCTGCTAATAAAGTTAACTGTATCCCAGCTGAAACTATGACAGGAGTTTACTGGGAGTGCCCCAGCATTAACAGCTGTAGTTTGACTAGATAATATATTTGCATGTACTCGAGAGCAGGAGGAGCCAGATGAGGGACCAGGATCCTCCAGCTGAGGTTGGGTGGTTGCTGTGCTGAAGGGGTGACCCCGCAGTGGCCACCGACAGGACTGGGGCTCCTCGGGCAGCGCAGGTAGGGCAAGGCAGGAGTGGGGTTTCCTGAGCCCCCCTGTCCCAGGGGAAAGCATGGCTGAGCAGGATGGACGTGGGGAGAGAGGTGGGACAGGCTCTTCTCAGTCTGGGTTTGGTTCTTGCCCCAAAGCGTTTCCGAAGGTGCAGGGAGGGCGGCAGCGGGTGCTGGGGAGCAGGAGAACACCCTGGCTGCTGGGTCCAGCCACTCTCCAGACACACAGGGTTTTTAATTGGAGCCCAGGGCTCGCTAATCCCTTTAGTTCATTTGGCAAATAGGCCATTAACCCTGCGCGGGGCAGCCCAGGGCTCTGGCAGCGGCGTTGCCGGCGTTCCCGCAGCCGGTGAAACGTGGCACCCGGGGCTCACAGCTGGCACGGTGAGGGGCATGGTGGGGTGGAGGGGTCTCACTTTCCGGAGTATTTGTTTGCTTTTTTGGTTGGATCAGTCTGGGCTGGTTTCCTTTCCAAAGGAGGGCTTATTGCTGCTGTTTGTGTGCTCTGACCCTCCTGCCGGAGCCTCGCCGCGGGGATGGACCCGGTCTCTTCCTCCCACTCCTCCCGAGGGGCAGAGCCAGGTGCCCAATGTGGGACGGGGCGGTCTGTTTTCCCTGACTTGGTGTGCCTTGGGCTGGCTCACCTCCTGTCTCCTTTAAATCCTTCTTTTCTTTTTTCAGTCTGCAGAATTCTTCGAAATGCTGGAAAAAATGCAGGTGAGCCGCAGCGTGCATGCTGGTGACGCGGGAGGTTCCCCACGCGGCAGAGGCTGCAAGGACAGGGATGTCCCAGCACCTCGTACATGGAACGTGCTGGGGGGGGCTGTAGGGTCATGACTGGTTGTGGATGGTCGCTGTGGTCCCCGGCGCGGTGTGAGCCACGGTTGGCATAGCAGGGTCTGGCACAGAGCATGGCAGTGTCTGGCACAGAGCACGGCAGTGTCTCCGTGCCCCTGGGGTCAGGGCAAGGTGTTGTCTTGTCCCACACTAAAACACATCAGCATCTGCTTGAGGAGGAGGATCAGGGGACCAGGGTGTCCCTTGGCATGTCCCTTGTCCCCTCTCATCCCCGGTGCCGGGATGTGTGGTGCTCAGGGTGCCCCCCGTTGTGGCACGGGTGGGTGCCAGTGGGGTTTGCCGTCCCTGAGCTCCTGCCTGGGCCAGGCACTGTCAGACACCGAGGTTGTTGCCCAGCCACACGTCATGTTAGCCACAAATTAGCTTTGTTTTGCCGAGCCCAAGCCCCGCCATGGGGTCTGTCCTGGCACACCGGCAGCTCTGCCCAGCTCCTCCCAGGCAGAAACCCCCCCCTTTCATGCCACTCCTGTCAGAGTGGTTTCCATGAAGCAAAATACCCTCCTGGTTTCATCTGTGTAGTTGAAAGCATCTTAATTACTCCATGTATTCTTTTTGTTCCAAACAGGCACCAAAACTGGAAGAACAGAGGACTGGAAGCCAAAAACATAAGGTTGGTTGAATTTTATTTCTTGTGTGGATCTCTTCAAGTGTCCCCCCCTTATCTCAGGGCTTTTATGCATGTAGTCAAAGACAGTCACTCGAAGGACTAAAAAGGATTTAAATGCTGTCTAAAAAGAAGGCACTGATTGAATTGCAAAGATGAGAGAGCGGTGCCTGTAAATCCCTAATCCAGCTTTGTGTCCAAACCCGTGTGTTTCAGCGTCGAGCTGTGGGAAGGGGTTGGGTTCTGCTGCCGGAAGCTTTCACCAGTACTGGGGACCCCTTTGGAACGGGGCTGCTGCTGCTGCAGAGCTTTCCTGCAGACCCCGAGTGGGGAGGGGTCCCCGGGCCGTGTCCCCCGGGCAGCACGGTGGCACCGCGGCCGGGGCTCGTGCCCATCACCGCCCACGGTGGCCTCATCCCACAGGAGCATCGCTCCGGGTGCGGGGCGGGGGGGACCAGTGCAGCTCCCGGGCTGGGTGTGCAGGGCTGTGGTGTTCAGGGACAGCTGGTGGGGAACAGATGGTCACACGCCGTGTTTTGATTCCTTTTTCCAGGAAGACTACATCCCGTACCCCAGCATTGATGAGGTGGGTGCCCTGAACCGCCCTTGACTGCCTTCTGGTGAATGCCTTCCCAAAATTGCTGATAGCAGGGGAGCAGGGGGAGACCTGTCCCCGAGAGGAGCTGCATAAAGCACCTTCCCCCTCCCCACCTTTGCGGCTGCTGCTTTTCCTCGGAAGCACATGCCCTTTTCTAGGAGAGAGAGAAGAGCTGGATTTGCCCCCCACAGTCCCCGGTTGGGGGCTTTTGCTGGAGGGGCTGGGGATGGGGGGATGGAGTGGAACCCAGGGTGACAAGCCCCTGCACTCCCCATCTGCACCCCAGTCCTGCCAACCCCTCATGGGCGCGTGTCCCTCCAGATCCTGGAGAAGGGCAGCCCCTACCCGCTGATCATCCTGCCCCAGTTCGGGGGGTACTGGATCGAGGACCCGGAGAACCTGGGCACTCCCACCTCGTCCGACAGCAGCATTTGTGAGGAGGAGGAGGAGAACCTCAGCCCCAGCACCTACGGCTACAGGCTGGAGTGCAAAGGAGAGGCCAGAGCCTACAGGAAGCATTTTCTGGGGAAGGTGGGTGCCGCTACCGGGGACGAGCTGTGGGCTGAAAATTGCACACCCCCAAGAAAAAAAAAAAAAAAATCCTAAAACTGGGAGGAAAATGGGCAAATTTTGCAACTTGCCTCTTTGCGAGAAGAGGAGAAAGGGCCCGGTGGGTGACCAGTGGTGGTGGTGATGGCCGTGCAGAGAGCCTTTGCCCCCAGTCCCCCAGGACGGCGGGTGGGGACACGGGCTTTGAGCTGCCCGTCTGCGGGGACCCAGGGCTCGGCCAGACTTGGGGGACACTGGGCAGCCACCGCCTGCCCCCCCTCCTTGCCCACAGCACTGTAATCCTCTCCTCCTGCTGAGCAGGGCTGAGAGCAGGGTGCTAAAGTCCATGGGCAGAGGGATTAAAGCCCTGGCCCCCGCGAGGAGGGGGTACCCCTGAGGGGGGGGGAGAGTATCGGGGGGGCAGATGAGACCCCGCTCCCAGCCGGGGTGTGGGGCAGCGTCCTCACCATCGACGAGCTGCCTCCCCCACCCCTAATGCCCTGTTTTCTATTTCTAGGATCATTTAAATTTTTATTGTACAGCCAGCAGCCTAGGAAATCTGATCCTGTCTATTAAGTGTGAGGAGGCAGATGGCACGGAATATTTAAGGATTATACTCAGGTATGGGAAAAAAAGCTCTTTTTAACAAAATATTTTCTCTTTGGGAGTCCCTTATTTTGTTCCTACTGTGGATGCCGGAGCCAGGCCAGCAGCATGGGGGCTGTCGCACCCGGAGGGGCTCGGGGAGGGGTGGGGGGCAGCACCATCATCCTTTCACTGCTTCCACACTGGGACTGCCTGACCCCTGATAACGAACACGAGACTTTGATCTGCTGCTAAACCCGCTGAAACTGAGTGTAAACCTCCCCGTGACACGGGATAATGCCAGCCGCATCTATCGCCATCCCTCCGTAAGCTGACAAGACCCAGCGTGTCTGAACCGTTGTGTCATTTCTCTCCAAACGATGAATATTTTAAGAGCTACAGAGATGAGAAGAAAAATTGAGCCTTTGCTTACTAACCAGGCCCAACAAATTCTGCAGAGCATCCTTTCCCAGCAGCCGGCGGAGCATCGCTGCGTGCACCCCACGGGGCTGGCGAGTCGGGGGGCTGCAGCCCCGTCTCTTTGCCTCGGGCACCCCCTGATGTCTGCTCCTTTCTGTTCCTTCTCTAGGTCCAAAGTGAAGACGTTGCATGAAAGGATCCCCCTGGCAGGGTTTAGCAAGCTCCCCAGTATCCCCCAGATTGCAAAGGTGAAATGCTGGGCTGGGGGACCTGCAGCAAAGCCTGGGCTGCTGCACCCGGCGCGTTGGGTGGCATTGGGTGGTGTTGGGCAGTGTTGGTGGCGTTGGGTGGCATTGATGGCGTTGGGTGGCGTTGGGCAGTAGTACCTGGGCTCTCAGGTCCAGGGGCACTTGGTGGGTGGTGGTACATGCTGGCCCCGCTGTTGGTTTCCTGCTGATCCCAGTCAGGTCACTGGTTGGTATCTGGAAGAGGTGAGGAAGTGGCAGCACCTTTGACCCGTGGAGAGACCTGGGACTTGTCTTGCTGTATCCTCAGTCAGGAACTAGCCAGGCCTCTGGGCATCCCAATGAGAGGATGCAAAGACAGGGCTCCTGACATTGGGGGCTGGATTTGGCTCCTTTATAAGACATTCGCAGCTTTGCCACGGGGTTTCAGCAGGACAGGGGTGTCTTCTCCGTGCGTCCAGGGACCAGCACTGACTGCTCTTTCCCCTTGCCCGCAGGCCTTCTGCGACGATGCTTCTGGGCTGAAGTTCAACCCGGTTCTGTACCCCAAGGTGAGGTGACTTACCCTGGGTCAGTCACGTATTCGGCAGAGCAGGTTGGGTAGGGTTAACTCTCCTCTTTTCTCCAAGATTCAACGGCTGCTTTGATACAGAGTATGGATATTTGTGCTGCGTCCTTCTACCGCATCCCTGCCTTTGTACCCGGCTGCAAAGGGGACGTGGGCAGAGCAGAAGTGGGGGGCTGTGTGTCTGGGCAGAGGTTGGCTAATGGCCATCTGATGGCACACGTGTGCCACTGTCTCCTTCTGTCAAACAGCCACCAAGGGTTGACGGCACTTTGGTATTAGTCTGCCCTTGGACCATGGGGAAGGAGGGAAAGGTGACTCTCTGTGGGGTATAAAACCAACCTGGATCTTGGTTTGATGCCCGAGGGCTTGCTCGAAACCCGGTGGGACGGGTTGAAGTGGTGCTCGAGAAGCCCTGCAGGACGAGATACAGAGGCAGTGGGTCGCTGGGGGGGACAGTGTGTTTTCTCCGGGTGACAGTCCCCACTGGTGACGTACTGGGACTGACTCACTGCCCGTGCTGGGATCGCATCTCTCTGTGCTCTTGTGCTGCCACAGAGACCCGCTCCCGGGAAGCTACAAAGCAGATCCATCATTTTCAAGTACCTATTATGGTGCAGACCTTTTCTGTGGCAGTCACAGCAGTAAGTTATGAGGCAGTTCCACCACCCTTTGATGTAGCCAAGGTCAAACCCGTTTTGTTCCTCCACTGTGACTGTTGGTGTTGCTGTCAAACCCTTACCTGGAGGTTTGAGAACAACCAGTGTCTACCTGGGGAAGGAAAGTGTCTCTGACTCGGTCCCCACAGAGCGGGGCTGGGACCGCGGAGCTGGGGCACTGCGGGAACTGCTGCAATTTGCACCCAAAGGGCCCCAAACTTCCCCAGAAAACCTGCGAGAGGTGCCAAGCAGTGTTCACTCTTCTGGACATCGTGTTTTGAACTCCTGAATTAACTCATTCATATTTTGTGGTACTGCAGGCTTCCCAGATGATAGTGTCCTACGATGAGCATGAGGTCAACAACACCTTCAAGTTCGGTGTGATCTATCAGAAGTTCAGGCAGGTGAGTGGTGCCCGTGGCACGTCCTGGAGCACGTCCCCGCTGCCGAAGCTCTGCTCGCACAAGCACAGGACCCCCGGGGCTGAAATCCCTCCCTGTCACACACATGACGTCGTGTTGCCAGGTGTCCTCACTAATAACACATTTCTTATTGCCTGGATGTTTCCCCGACTCATTAAAAAATGATGTGACTGAAAAAAAATTCAGTATGGAAATCAACCCACGAGCTGCTGTAGGGAAAAGTGGATGTGAAAATGGCTTTTAGCAGGCGTGGTGTTTGGATCAGATACGTGTTTAGACAGTGGAACAGTGACACTTGTCTTGGAGGACTGGGTTAGGAAGAGGTGTCTGCTGGAAAGGCTGTCGTGAGCGAGGGACTGCGGTGGGGAGCACAGAGACAGCTGAGGCTGGTAACTCACCCAGGATTGTTCTGACAGACACTCTAATTATCTTTACATATTGCGTTTTATTCTGGATTGAGTAACTCATGCAAGACCGTAATTAAGGTCTCATTGTTTTGAAATACAGCACACGGGGGATGATTTAAGACTTGGATTTTTCCAATGAAGGATTCATTGGTGTTTTGGTGTTCCTGTGCCTTACCCTGAGGTCCCTGCCGTTGCTCAGATGTCGCTCTCGGCGCCTTTTGGGGTCTGAGGGGGCTGCGAGTGTCTGGCCCCAGGGACCCCATGCTCAGGGCAGGAGCCGTGGTCATTGTGTCTGTAGCACCCATAGGGTGACAGAGGAGCAGCCCTCAGGGGTCCCTGGGGGCGTGGGGCTGTCCTGGTGCGTGGCAGCCTCTAGGACAAAAGATGTGCCCTGTGTTTTGTAGACCCAAGAGGAGGAGTTGTTCGGCAATAATGAGGAGAGCACAGCCTTCAAGAACTTCTTAAGCTTTCTGGGAGACACCATAACGCTCCAGGACTTCAAAGGGTAAGTTAAATAAAAAGAATGATTTTACAAATACATTTAACAAGAGACCATGTCAATGGTAAAAATAACTACTGTGCGAGAACAGAAGTAATCTCACTCCTGAGCGGGATGTACAGAGCAGAAGCAAATATAGCTTTGGCTTGTTTTTCAAAGCTGGGGGAGTTTTCCGAAAAAAAATTGGAGCTGCCAAGAGAGAAAAACTTCCTTTCCTGCAGTTTTGAGAAAAATCTGACTATACCCAGCCATAGATGGAAGGAACTTGTATGAAAACACGCCCTGTCCGGTGGTGTGGGCTCAGCAGAGACCCCCGGCTGTGGCACGGGCCGTGGGCTGGCAGACGTGGGCATCCCACCGGTGGCTGTGGTCAGCCCCTGCCCCTGGCACCACTCTGCCGCGCACCCCCGGTCTGGGAGCAGGGCTGGTGATGCTCGGCCACCACACGTGACGCACGCTCTGTTCTTTCCCATTTGCTCGCTCCCAGATAAAGATAAACGAGCTGGTTTGTTCTGTCACCCTGTCCCCCCGGAGCCGCCGGCGGGCTCTACTGAGCTTTCAATTAATATTTCTTCATTTCTCCCCGCCTTTCCCTTCGTCTCCAGTTTTCGAGGAGGTCTGGATGTCAGCCACGGGCAGACGGGAGCGGAGTCTGTGTACACGGTGTTCAGGGACAGGGAGATAATGTTTCACGTCTCCACAAAGCTGCCTTTCACCGAAGGAGACACACAACAAGTAAGAGAGATGAGCTTCCTCGCAGGGTGCTGTCTGAGCCGGGATGCCCTGGGGATGCCCAGCCCCGGCACCGTGGTGGCCTCGGCTGGTGGCAGTGGTGGCATCAGCTACGGGGGCTCCCGGTGGGCGGCGATGCTCCTGGAGATGGTGTTTGCTCCCGAGGGAGCAGGAACCACCCGGCTTTACCCACCACGTGTCTTCCCTTCCCGCTCAGCTCCAGAGGAAGAGGCACATCGGCAACGACATCGTGGCCATCATCTTCCAAGAAGAGAACACGCCATTTGTCCCAGACATGATCGCCTCCAACTTCTTGCACGCCTACATCGTGGTGCAGGTGGAAAACCCCGAGGCAGACAACACGGCGTACAAGGTGAGGGGAAGCCCCACCTGCACGGGCCCATTTTCTGCTTTGGGGTCTCAGGCCGAGGTGTGGGGGCGGCTGCCCAGTGTCTGCCTCCCCATGAGCTCAGTGACACCACCAGCACTGTGCCTGCCCGGAGTGGGAGTGTGTGTATTAAACATACATATGTATATATACACACAGACACACATATATTTATGTATGCACTGTTACATAGTGTGTGTGTGTATACATACATATGTATCTGAAATATGTGTGTGTATAAGAGCATGCCCATCTACTGAAGATTTTTGATGCTGCTCAGTGTTTGAATGAGCCTCAGAACAGCTCGTACCCGTCTGACACGTCACTCAGGCACAGACAGCATAAACCCCCTTCTCCCTTTGTTTTCTCTGCAGAGATCCAGTAAGACAGAATTTTTCAAACCCAAGCGCATTGCTTAGAGCCCCAGATGAAAACAGAATTCATAGGAAATAAATGTGAAAGGCTGTGCATGGTTAACCCTCCCATGAAAGCAGGAGCGATGACAGGGCTGGGGAGGAGCAGGCTCTGGGTGGATGTAGTTCTGGGGGGAGCATCTCCTGCCCCACATCCCTGCGCTGGGGCTGCCCCGCTGCATCCATGGGAATAACGTTTCTCTTGGCCCCACAGGTGTCCGTCACCGCCCGGGAAGACGTCCCCTCCTTTGGCCCACCCCTGCCCAGCCCACCAGTGTTCCAGAAGGTAAGAGATGAGATGGGAAGCATGTAAAAAAAAATGTATGCCTATGTCCGAGATGTTTTCAAGCATGCCTGCTTAGGGAAAATGCGACTTCTGGACTTTAAATGCATTTATTTTGATTTCTAGTGAGGCCGGTGGGGGTCTGATGGGGTGGGAGGCACCATTGCAACGCTCCCACCTCTGGAGAGGGCTGCAGGGTGCTGTGAGCCTGGGTGTTGGCTCGGGCCAGCTCGGGTACCGGGGATGCACAGAGCCCTTGGCGGGTGTTTCCCACCTCCCCTCTCTCCCGCAGGGCCCTGAGTTCCGGGAGTTCCTGCTCACCAAGCTCATCAACGCCGAGACCGCCTGCTGCAAGTCCGACAAGTTTGCCAAGCTGGAGGTAACGCTGCCCGTCCCTGCCCACCACGTGTGTCACAGTGCACTCGGTGGCCATGGGGTCCCATGAGGCCACTGTGCCCTCGGTGGCGGATGAGACGGGTGTCCCATGGGTTGATGTTGCCGCCCCCTCCCTCGGGACCCCCAGCTGAGCCTGTTCTCACCCCCCAGGACCGGACGCGGGCCGCCTTGTTGGACAACCTTCACGATGAGCTCCACGGGCACACGCAGACCATGCTGGGGCTGGGGCCTGAGGAGGACAAGCTGGAGAATGGGGGTCATGGAGGCTTTCTGGAGTCTTTCAAGGTAAATCTCCGTCCCTTGCCAGCAGCAACCTATGGGGATGTGCTGGGAAGGGCTGGCACGTGTCAGTCCAGGCTGCACCCTCGGGTGGGTGTTCAGTGGAACACCTGAGTCAGGCCACAGTGTTCTTGCCCCGAATGATGCCTTGGGCTGTGCTTTACCCCGTGCAGCTCACAGGCAGGCTGGTTTTAGCTGCGTCTGTGGTGGGGACGGGTGCTGGAGCTGGGTGACTCTCACTGTCCCGGCCAAAGGGTCTGTCCTGGCTGCAGCTGGATGGAAGCACCTTCTGCCATCATCCTGTAGCCACGGGTTTCTCTATGGTGTAGAGAGATGGACACTGGTGGATGAGTCACCTCATCCTGCACCCATGGGCTGCAGAGGCGGGGTGAGCAGCTCCTGGCCCCGCGGTGGGTGGAGGCTCAGGTGTGTCTGTATGAGACACGCAGAAATCAGGATGCTGTGCAGTCGTACATCGCAGCACTCACTTCCAGGTCGGAGACAATGATGTTAAATTATCAATTTTTTGCCTGCTTTCTGTGCAGGGGAAGGTGGACTCTGCTCTGGTGGCGTTGCAGGGGGTGCCGGGGCAGGCTCTGAGCTCCCTGGTCGGGGCTGGGCTGCGTTTGCCCCAGCTGGGGACCGCGCTGCTGGGCTGCCTCCTCGCCTACGGCCTGCACCGCGCGCTGTCCGAGTGAGCGGGCGAGCGGAGGCGGCCGGGGAGAGGGCTGGGAGGGGGCGAATCCTCATCCCCACCCTTTCTTTTTGGCCAGTACCTCACACCCCCACCTGGCCCGCAGCCCCCTCGTCCCCAGCCCTGCCATGGTGGGACCGGCCGCTCAGAGGGAAGAGGAGGTTATTTTTGCTGGGCTCTGAGCAAACCCAAGGGGCACCTTCGTGGGGAGAGGAGCCACTGGCCACCCCCAGGGAGGGGGTGTTGGGGTCCCTGCAGAGCCCTGTGGCCTCGGCAGCCCCGGGCAGGACCCTTCCTGCTGCTCGGTGTGAGCACTGGCCAGAGCTGCTGGCAGCAAAGTGAGCAACCAGCTCCTTTTATCTGCAAACGCTGTCAAATTTTGTATGAATTGCTGACCCTAATAAATCAGGTGCGATGGACTCTCGCTTGGTGTTTGTTACTGGCTGGGGACAGTGTGGGGCTGTCCGGGTGGCCACGGTCTCCAGCATAGGCTGGGACTCGGGCTGCAGTTCCCACTTACCTGGGTGCAGGTTTGCCTGTAGCTCTATAACCCATGGATAACCCATGGATATCCCATGGATAACCTATGGATATGGTCCTCCACAAACCTGGCCCTGGATGCCTCGTTTCCTCCAAAATCTCTTTCCCTTGAGTGGGGGCTGGGGGGGCCAGGGCAGAGGCAGCCGTGGCACTGGGGGCAGCACAGCAGCAATTCGGAGGGAATAGCTGTGGAGAGAAACTTTCTTGTAATTTGGCAACCTGGCATCGCAGTCCAGTTTGGGCTCCTGTTACTATGGTGACTACAGTAACGAAAATATGGGTATAGATTTGGGGTTTTTTTTAACTTGTGCATTTCACTGCTGCTTTTCATAGTGTGTGCCAGACTCTCAAAAGATCTCGTGGTTGTATTTGTAAGTGCTCGGGACAACAACTGAGCGAAGACGTTAAAAATAAATAGCCCAGGTTCTGTTCAAGCACCCAGACGAGAGTGCAGATCTGCAGAAGATCTCCAGCCCCATAGCTGCAGCCCTCAGCCCTCGCACCCAGCGGTGTGGGGGGAAAACCTGACCTCGTGGTGGCCATGGGGGTCCCCGAGGGGTGGGCAGAGCCCAAGAGGTGGGCAGAGCCATGGCTGCTGCTGGCACTGGTGAGGTTGTTGGTGTGCCCTGGCTCTCGGGCATAGTGACAGGCAGGTCACACTCTGGTGTGTCCGGGGGGGGCTGGAGAGGGGCTTTGGGGTCAGTACCCCGCAGGGTGGTGGTGACCTGCTGTCCCCTGTCCCCTCTGGCCACAGAGAGCCATCCGGGTCCGCAGCCACTCCATGGAGACGATGGTGGGCAGCCAGAAGAAGCACCACGGCAGTGGCATCCCGGGCAGCCTCAGCGGGGGCATCGCACACAACAGCAGCGAGGTGACCAAGACCACCTTCTCGGTGAGCACGTCCCTCTGTCCCTCCCTCCCTCCCTCCCCAAGCTGGGGGGGGGCACGCTGTGCTGGCAAAGCCTGGCAGTCCCCTGGGCAGGCAGGGAGCGTAGAGGTGAGGAGATCTGTGCAGAGCATGATTTAATGAGCACTGTGTTCAGGTTGGGTTGGTTTAGTGGCAGAACTGAAGATTAGCTTCCTGGGGTTTTCAGCCCCAAAGCACAAAGGAGATATAAAGGCAATTCTGGCATTACAAGTTTTCTAGATGTGCAGCCTGAGAATTGTGGGCAGCGTTATTCCTCGTAAGATGTTTAGTCTCAGGAGCTTCTAGGAAGGAGCTTTGCTCTCCAACCCGGACTGTTCTGTGCTTTCAGCCCCCCGTTCCAGCCGCTGCTGCCAAGAACCAGTCCAGGAGCCCCATCAAGCGCCGTTCAGGGCTGTTCCCTCGCCTGCACACGGGCTCCGAGAGCCAGGCGGAGAGCAGGACGAGGTGGTGAGTTGGGCATCGCCCTGGTAACTAAGGTTAAAAACACCTCTGGCACGTTAAACCTCAGGGAAGCTGGTGGTGGGTGCTGGGGACCGTGTCTGGGGCACGGCCAGCGACGAGAGCTGCTTTTGCTGTGTTGGAGGGAGTGGTGCCTTGGATCCCTTCCCTCTGTTTTAAGTCGGAGTGGTGGTATCCAGAGAGCATCTGTTACTCTTACAGTTTAGCATTTGGTGTTAGGGAGTATAATTTGACCATCCTTTTTAAGTCTCTTGTGTAACTTGTGCAACCTGTCTCTTTGTGCCCTCAGCGACAGTGTTTCTGGAGCCCAGAAGACACCAGATTTGGGACATTCTTCTCAAGAAATGAAGTCTGAAACCTCATCCAACCCCAGCTCTCCTGAAATATGCCCCAACAAGGACAGGTGAGCCCGGAGGAGGCCCCTCCTGCTCCAACCAGAGCTCGAGTCACCCTGTAGCTGACAGACCATCAGGAACTTTGTCAAACAAAACCATCTCCAGGTTTTGCTATAAATAAGTTTGATATTAAGGGAGGAAAAAAAAAGATTTTGGTGATTCATGAGCACAGCTCCTCTATGGTCTGAAAATAGCCTTCTTTAAAAAGAAGAGGACGAGCAAAGAGCAGGATTTGGCAGAAGTTGCCCAAACCCTTGTGGCACGGGAGCTGGGAGGCCGGTGGTACCCATCCCTCCCTGCCACCAGGCAGTCAGCCTGGGCCATGGGTTCCTGCTGGTGGCACCCACCAGCTGCTTTGTCCCATGCTCTTGGAAACGGTTCCTTACAGAAACACCCCCCAGGTTTGTCCCTATCACAGTTGCTTTACCCAGGGGTGGGCGAGAGGGTCTGTCCCCACTGTCATGGCCCAAGGGACACGGCTTCCCAAGTGACAACTGCGCACCCTCCGTTCTGTTTCGCCCCTCTTCCCAGGCCCTTCATTAAGCTGAAAGAGAATGGGAGGTCAAACATCTCCCGTTCCTCCTCCAGCACCAGCAGCTTCAGCAGCACGGCGGGGGAGAGCGAGACCCTGGAGGAGTACGACAGTGTGGTAGGTACCAAACTGCCCTGCGGCACCCGTGGGACCCTCGGCCCCGCACGCCCTCAGCTGCCCCTGGGCCCTCGGGGGGGGGTGCTCTGCGTGGGGAGAAGGGTCCTGTGGACCCCGGGGGGGCCTCCTCCCTGCTGGCATCCTGGGGCTTAACCCCGTCCACGGGTGCGGGAGGAGGAGGGTTGGGATGCCTGGTGGGACACCCCAGTGAGCCTTGGGGTGCACTGGGATGGTGCTGGGTGCACTGGGGCAGGAGGTTGCTCCATTGGGGCGAGCTCTCCCTAATGAGCAGGGATGTAACAAGGCATCAGCAGGGTGTGGGGAGGAAAGGTGGCTGCACAAGGGAAAGCCCCATCCCGGTCTCTCCCGTGCAGGGAAGCCAGCCGTCCACTGCGTCCCCGTTCAAGCAGGACGTCTTTGTCTACAGCGCTTCTCCCGGCAGCGAGAGCCCCAGCATGGGGGCTGCGGCCACCCCCGTCATCATGAGCAGGAGCCCCACAGGTGGGTGGCAGGAGGGCTGGGGGGGCACCAGCTCTGCTTTGGCTCCTGGAGCCCTTGGAAACCCCCAGGCTCCCACAGTGGTGGGTCGGGATGGGGTCTGAGGCTCTGGGATGGAGGAGCCCCCTCCCAGCCTTGCCCGGGCTGGCAGGACGGGCATCCCAGGGGATGTGGGGTGAGCCCTGGCTCCTCCCGAAACCCTCATCCCGAGGGGCTGTTCCAGAGAGACAGCCCCATGTGCTTTATTTCTATATTTCCACGGGGAATTTGTTTCCCTTCTAAATTGGAGCGCAGCCGTGGCTCTGGCTGTGCCTTTGTTCCCCGTCTCTCCGCAGACGTGCGCAGTAGTCGTGGAAACTCGCTGTCTCCAGGGGCCCGGCCGTGACTCACAAATTATTTAATAAAGAGGCAGCTTCCCCCGGTCTCGGCTCCATTCCCCCCGCTGAGAACTCTCTGCCGCCGACTCCAGCCAGTCCAGTTGCACGATTTGCCAAACGGGTGCAGTTCGAGAGGGTGAAAGGGGCAGAAACGGGCCCTTTGGTGCATCCGGCGGTGCCGGGGCTGGGGGTGTCGCAGCGCTCGCCCCTTGCCCGCGCATCGCTGCGCCTTTAATCTGCTCCCGCAGCAAAGACCCTGCAAAAAGCACCCTGATCCCAATGAAAACACAGGTTATGAACTGAGGAGCCCTTTGTGGAACAGCCGGGGGGACACAAATCCCCCCCCAGCCGCTGAGTAGCTGGGGGCAGCGGAGGGAGAGCGGGGCTGTGGGGCTGGCGTTGGTATCGCAGCACCACACAGGTCCTCCTCCTTATTTCACTAGCCATTTCCTGAACTATTAAGCCACCCCCTTTTAACGTTTAATGTGTTTATTTTGTATTTTTCCTGCCAAGAACGTGGAAATCCACCCATACATTATACGGATCAGTCATTTCTTGTAGCCTTTTCAGTGGCATTTCCAGTAGAAAGACTGTGAAATGTAATTAAGCCTCAATTTGCTCCATGAAAAACATTGAATGTACAGATTTTGCCAAACATTCCGCCAAGATAGACTAAATATTGGTAGCACTCGTGACAGTCTATTGAAGTGCCTGGCTGTCAGGCCGGGCAGTCAGCGCTACAGCTTCTGCAAATATTTTTGTTCGTAGATTATTATTTTCCTTCTTTGCTTTTCCCCTCCCTCCAGCAGATATAAAGAACAGAAACTCTCCGAGGTCAAACCTGAAGTTTCGCTTCGACAAGCTCAGCCACGGCAGCTCCAGCACGGTGGGTGCCAGCAGCTCTCGGGGCACGGGGGATCTGGGGGGCAGGAGGCAGAGCCCGTGGGGGGCAGGCAGTAAGGGAGGGGATGGGGAAGGGGGGTGGAAGGGATTTCATGACTTTTTGCCCCTTTATTTGCAACCCAACCCATACTCTGTTCCTTGTTTAGAGCCACTAGCAGGAAGAAGTCGTCATGAACTTGTAAAAGGTGAGTGAGTGAAATGCGGTGCTGGGTAAAATGACCTTAAAGCATCCCAAATGCTTTCTTACGATGAGGGCAGCACTGGGGGTGGAGAAGCAGAGCAGGTCTCTTTACATCTTCCAAAAAACAGATGGAAACAGTCAATTTAGAGGTGGATTTTACGGGTGGTGGTGAAGGGAGTGTGATCAGCCTGAGCTCTTGGGGCTGGGGACTTTGCATCCGGGGGCATGGCTTTTGCCCATGACTGGGGTCACCATCCCACGCTGGTGCTTTCACACAGGAGGCATTGCCAAGCCGTGAGAAATTTATTTACTGGTTTTCTTGCAGGCGCCATTTCCCAGAGTCTTTCTATGTCATGAAATCAGGGTTTTCATTAGGAAGTTCCTACCTGAGCAGAACAGCCCATAAAACTTAAAATGAGAGGAATTTCCATTTCTGAGAGCATGGGTCTCAAAAATCCATGATTTTCAGCCCCTTGCTGAGTTTCCTCCTCTCCCAGCCCAGGAGTGGTGGGTGGCTTGGTGTCTGGAGGACGGGCAGTGCCATGGCTTCAGCCCCCTCCCTGGGACCGGCGCTCGGCGGCCATCCCTGCAGGAGTGAGAATATTCCCCTTCCACGGTCTCTGACACTTCCATCCTTTTCTTCTTTGCAGAGAATTTTTGTTTCAACAAAGGGAAAACTCTTCAGCACCCCGTGGGAAAATGCCCGCCCTGGCGGTGGCAGTGGGTGCCCCCCCTTCCCGGCTGCACCCCCACCCCAGGACGGAGCTCTCGCCGCAGCCTCTGCCCCGACACGGACCTCGGCACCTTCCCACCGGGTGAACCCCTCGCAGCAAACACCCCCGCGCCCCTCTCTGTGCCACGGGAGGAGATGTGGCTCTCACCGCCCGGCACGTGTGTGTGGGCCGTGTCCCCTCTGCGGTGCCGTGTCCCCTCCGCAGTGCCTGTACGTGCTGCGGTGATGGGTGCCGGGCGGGCGCCGTCATCTCCCCTCCCAGCTCCTCTTGTAGGACGGACCCTCCCATGCAATTCGGGGGCCTCCATGGCCCCCCGTGTGATTTGGGTGCCTCCATGCCCCCCCCGTGTGATTTGGGTGCCTCCATGCTTTATGTGCAAGTTATCCGTGGGGAAACAGGGTTTTTGTGTTTGTGTTTTGGAAGGGCAGGCAGGTGGTCAGGGCAAAATTCTGTGTTTGCTTGGCCGTGGGGCAGTTTTCCTGCCCCAGCGTTTCCGTCGCTCTTCTCTTTTGGGAGACAACGGGGCAAAATCTGCCCCATGGCTCTTCCTGGCATGGCGGGGGCTGCAGCAGCTCGGCCTCCCCCCGCTGCCTCCCCTTCCGTCACCCCACTGCAAAACTTTTGGGCAGACGCAACCTCTCTCTCTGTCACTCAGTTTCTGGCACAAGGGGAGGGCGATGGAGCCGGTCCCGGGGCTGACTCCCCCTCAGCAGCCCGGGAAATGGTTCATTTCAAAAAGCCTCCCTGCTTTTTCCCTGCCTGAAACTGCGAGCACAGGCCTGGGAAAGGCTAACCAACACTGGGGCTGCCCCATATCCCAACACCAGAACGGGTACCGGGGGTGAACTGACCCCGTGGGCTCTGCTTTGCCCTGAGGCTGCGTCGCCAGGCTGGCAAAGGTAGGACACCCCAGTAATTTGGGTGGCGTTGGGCTGCTCCCCGCCCCTTGCAGAATCTGTCCCTCTGCTTTTCGATATCCTTCTGGTTGTTTTGAAGGACAAGGATTATGAATTCCACAGGTGACTTCCCTGCAACGCCCTTTTCCAAAAAAATACCTCTCTCAACATGCCAAGAAATCCTTTTGCGCTTTTATGGAGCTTTGCCTAAAGTTTCCAGCAGCCTGTCCGTGAATTTCATGTTCTCACAGGTTTCCCGTGTCAGGGGTTTGAGGGACACTCTGCGGTGCTGCAGAGACACTCCCTCCCTGGTACCACTTTGCAAACCCCCCCGTCAAATAAGGTTCTCAATCTCAAGTGAAAGCAATTCTTTGAGTTCCCGATTCCTCTTGGAAATGGAGCTTTGAGTGCCAAAGGGAACTTTCCACGGCTGGAGCTGGGAGGCACCAAAGCACCCCACAGCCACAGTCGCACACCGGGGGGCATTCTCCAGGGGGGCTGTGGCTGCTCCTGGGGGATGCTCCTGGCTCTGGGGAAGTGCTTGTAGAAGCCACCATCACCTCCCTCCCCACCGCCCCTGGGCCAGAGCAGGGCCAAGCCAAACCAAACCAGCTCCATTCCCTGGAGTCTGCACGGTCCTGACACCCCTCACCCTGGGGTTCATGCTGGGGCTCCCACTTGTGCATTATTTGTGCATTGGAAAAGAAAAGGCTGGAGCCTTAACGGGAGAGGAACCAGATTAGAGGAGGAAAACGCCTTGTGGGAAAGGTGAACAGTTTCACAAGCACTGAGTGCGCTGTGCAGGACCAGTAAATACCAGTAACCACCAGTGAGGACGCTCCCTCCTGCTTTCACTGGGCTGCATTTAAATAGAGTTTAAATCTTGAGGCTCTCTTTGGAGGAGGAAGAGCACGGCGTGCTTAGCCCAGTCCGTAGCTAGCTCTAGATGTCTCAGGTTCTCATCCTTCTGTTCGGCACTTGTCTGACGATGCTTACGTAGCACTTTGAACCCCATCCCTCCCGTCCCATTCCTCCCCTTAGAAGCTTTCGGTCTGGTTTTCTTACGCCGCGCAGAGAAACGCTGACTTGCTTTGAGGGTCTGCTCCTGGTTTTGCTCGCTGTCCCCGAGAAGTCGCTTGATTCTGTAGACGTCGTCGTTCGCGTGGGTGTTGATCTCCATGAGATCTTTCAGCAGAAGATGCAGTGGCTGCTGTCAGCTGGGTTTGGCATTTTTGTGTTTTGGTTTTCTTACTTGAAGCTGTGACTTCCCTTTTTGACCTAGGTTGATGTGTAGAACTCTTGGGATGGAGTTGGGAGGCAGGCAGGGCAGGGAGGAGCTCCAGGGACGTGTCTGTCCCCACGCCAGCCCTGCAGGGAGGGCAGCGGGGCCTGAGCCAGGCCTGGCACAAGGTTTGCCAGAGGCTCCTGTGCCCTCGGGGACACTCCTCGTGCCGGGCTGTGACATCCTCCTGCAGCACCCTTAGCAGCAACCGGGCTTTTAAAGCCGCTGTCCCAGCCCGGGGTTTCTGCCTGCACTGTGTGTGCCGTGCCCCCTTCAGCCCCCAGACTGTCCCCAACTGTCCCCAACTGTCCCAACCACCTCGGAGGGGTTTCCACTGCCAGCAGTGGGTGAAGGTGTCCCTCTATATGTACTGCAAAATGTTTTGTGCTTGTAAGTGACACACACACACATATATATACATATATAAAAGGGATTTTTATATATATATATAGAGAGAAGGATCCTTAACTGACACTAAAATTGCTGGGCAGTGCATTTTCCTTTCTGATCCCACCGTTTCCATGCACATTGACTTCTCCTGCTCTCGGAGGGATTTGCACAGGGAGCAGAGGGGGCTCAGAAACACAGCGGGGGGAAACGGGGGGAGCCCCTGGCTGTGTGCGGGGGTCTCGCCTCTCCTGGGCATTGCTCCCCTTCTCCCTGGGGTTTGGTCCCTTGCCTGCTCCTGCTGCCCCCGGCTCAGACCCCTCCGTGGCCTTGGTGGGAGGCAGGGGCAGGTCCAGGTCGGGGAGTCCTGGCAGCGGAGCGAGGAGGGGACCCTGCTCCCCCCCCCCCAGCTCCATCGATGTGGCCCTGGGGACCGCTGTGCGGAGCTGCTGCTCCCTCTGGGATTTCCTCCTGGAAAGCTCTTGGCAAGTACTTGTGTCCTCCTGACCCCCCAAAGGCCAAGCACAGGGTTACTCTCAAGCACAACAGGAAAGTGCTTTTTTTCCTGAGCGGGACGGGGGGATCCTAAGCACAAACTTGGTTTCTTTCTGGAGTTTTGAGGGTCTTCAGGGTGAAGGGGCCAGGGCACGTCGCTGGCACCAATGTGGGCTGGGGTTTCTCGGCTGTTTTTGGCTGCCAGAGGTGCTCGGCACTGCCAACGGGTGTCAGACCCGGTGGGGGCAGAGCCCAGCCCCTCTGCACAGCCCCCCCTCACCCCGCTTCGCTCCTGTCCCCCAGGGCCAGCAGCGTCTGCCCTCCCCGGCCCCACAGCATGCTCTCATTATGTTTAATGAATGTAGCACTGCGTATATCCTGCAAAGGGAAATGCTGAATTTATATCATTAGAATGTGAAGAGAGTTTATAGAGTGAAAATAAATCTTGAAGAAATGTATCTGACAAAGTTTATTTTAGCAGTGGGTGAAGGGGCCAGGGCACGTCGCTGGCACCAATGTGGGCTGGGGTTTCTCGGCTGTTTTTGGCTGCCAGAGGTGCTCGGCACTGCCAACGGGTGTCAGACCCGGTGGGGGCAGAGCCCAGCCCCTCTGCACAGCCCCCCCTCACCCCGCTTCGCTCCTGTCCCCCAGGGCCAGCAGCGTCTGCCCTCCCCGGCCCCACAGCATGCTCTCATTATGTTTAATGAATGTAGCACTGCGTATATCCTGCAAAGGGAAATGCTGAATTTATATCATTAGAATGTGAAGAGAGTTTATAGAGTGAAAATAAATCTTGAAGAAATGTATCTGACAAAGTTTATTTTTTATGTAGAGAGGCGGTGCTTTGTAGTTCCTGGTGGCCTATGTCTGTTGTAAATAATGTACATTTAATTTATTGCTATGGTAGCAGATTGTATTTGTTATGTATAAAACTAAAGGTTCACAAATGTATATTTTGTTGCTTAACTGTGTCTTTGCAAAATTCACAATAAATAACATATTTTGTGTCCATATGTGTACTACGCCGGGTATGTCCACGAGGTGACTGAGCTCTTTGGGAACAGACAGTGATTTTTCCATCCCTGTAAAAACCAGGGGAAGCCATAGACCAGGGCTGAGCCGTTACTGGTGTGACGCCAGGGGAGCTCACAAAAAGTCACAGAGGGAGAGGAGCGTCCCAGGGCCAGGAGGTGTAAATTGGGACCTCTCTGCTGCTGTTCTGGCGCTGGGACCGGATCAACAGAGGACCCAGCCTCTCTTTTACAAATGCTTAGCAAGTTTAATCAAGCGAACCGTTCTGTTTGAACTGGAATTAGTGTCACATAAAGCTCAATGTAAACCGGTCCCTCAGTGTAAACTGGTCCCTGTCAGCAGCCAGCCCACATGTGGAAAGAAAACAAACAGGCAGCAATTGAGTTACTCTAACCCAGCTTGGTTTACCTTGGGTCGTGGGGCTCCAGCGTCTTGGCTGCCTTTGGACGTCCTCTGTGAGCTAACTATGAAATTGGATTTTCTCTCTCCAGCTCCTCAGGCTCCTTTCAAATCCCTCTAATTTCCCAGATCTCTTCCTCCCAGGACGCTAAGAAAAAAGCTGTTATTGTTTGGAGGCAGCGTGTCTGGTACATTTTCCCCACGGCTCAGGCTGAATGAAACACAGAGCTATTACCCGGCCCGAGTTTTTTAACGTTTTGTGACGAGGGGAATGTACCCATTAATTTGTACCTGTGAGAATAAAATACTTGCCTTTGCCAGGAAAAAAAAATTCCACAGCGAGGAGCATTTTGTTCACCCTCAGCAGCCTCCCAGCTCGGGTGCCTGATGCCCCCAGACCCTGCAGCAGCCCCGGCTCACGCCGCAGGGATGCTCAGGTGCCCAGGAGGGCTGAGATGGGGTCCTGGGTGGGTGCTGGGGGTTGCCAGGGGGGTCCCAGGGGGGTGCCAGCTGCAGTAGTGAGGGGACCTGCTGGGGCCACGGCTGCTCTGACCCAGGGGCAGCAAAGCCAAGCACAAACTGCCTGGGAAAGGGGCTCGGGCAGCACCTGAGCTGCTGCCAGTGCCAGGGGTGGGGGGGGTCACCCCAGCCCCCCTGAAACCAAAGGGTGAGGACTTTGCTTTGAGCTGCACAGACCCACCTACAGCAAAGCCTGAGCCACGGGGACACAGCCATCAGAGCCACTGGCTTCCACCAGGAAGGGCAGATGAAGAACAATATAAAACCTAAAAAAAAAAGTTCTGTTTCTCCTAACAGACCTTTATTGATGTAAAAATTTTTCTCGGTTACCCAACTATAAAACCTAAAAAAAAAGTTCTGTTTCTCCTAACAGATCTTTATTGGTGTAAAAATTATTCTCGGTTACCCAACCCAGATTCTGCCCTTGTCCAGAGGATGGACACCAGCACTGAACCCGTCTGTCGCCAAATCCCATCCCTGGCTAAAACCAAGAAAGTCCAGCGCAAGATGAAGCCCCTCCTTCCTCTGGCCATGGTCAGGTCCTGGTTTCCTCCGAACAGAACTGGAGCAGCGGCGGGTGCTTCGCAGGGGCTGGCAAGGGGCAGCTCCCCACTCCTGCCCCACACGCACGGCATCGGGGAGGAAAGTAAGTTGTGGGGATTCGGGCAATCTGCTGGAGATATTGATCCTCTCTTGAATTTTTCACTTGTACTTTTTGTTGTTGTTGTTGCAATGAATCAGAATCAACACTTTTTGTCTTTTTATGGCTTTTTTTGGTCAGCTCTCTTCTCCCCTGACCATATGACACCACCACCCGAGCCATGCTGTATCCTTTCCCATGCCAAGGCCTTCTTCCTCTGCATGGACCTATATTTCAAAGAAAACAATGGTGAAGGAGCTTCACTATATCTGAGAATCGTATTCCTTTGTCAAAATTAGCCAACTGGTGCTCATTTTTGATAAGAAAATAGTCTAAAATCCAAGTAGGTTATCAAGAAAAAATGGAAATATACACTGTTCAGGCAATTTCAAAAGATCCAACTGGACTGGTTGTGTTTTTGGTTGCCTCCTGCCAGAATTTAAATATATGGCACCTGAGCAGTTTCCATGACTTTCCAGGTCATCAGTGACATGCCAGACTTGCCTGCATGAAGAGGGAGAACAAAAGACTTGGGGTGAGCCATCAGGGGTGGTCCAGGCCAGTCACACCAACCGTGGAGAAAGCAGCTCCCCACCTTTGGAGCAGATGGTCAGGAGACACAGGAGAGCTCTGTGCATCCCCTGTCCTCTGAAATCAGGAGAGGAGAGGAGCCCACCCCGACACTGAGCAACCTTTGACATTTTCCACGTCAGAGAGGGATATGAGATCTTTCCTCCCACTCAGCCTATTTTTGGCCAAGGACAACACACCACCTGGCACAGAGGGCCTTTGCTGGCTACCCCAACAGGCTGCTCTTGGGATCTGCTCATCATAGTTTTATGTGCTCAAGCCGGGGGCAAGAATTACCGAAGGAAAAGAAGTTTCAGAAGAAGACAAGACTGAACAGCAGCAGATGGCATAAGGATGCAGATCAAGCATTCATCGGGCCCTGCATTTTTTGTAAGTTCTTTAGAGGAGCTCTGCTCACCTGGTGGCCACTGGAGGTCCCGGCTCTAGTAAGGTTTGGGCTGGAGGGTAAAAAAAGTAATGAATTAGTGTAGAGTAAAATGGAAACCACCAAAAGTGTTTTGGGTAGAAAACGGGCAGCAAAAACCACACCTACCTTAACTGTGCTCCTCACTAGGGGAGGGAAAAAGGGGGGAAAAAAGAAATTGTGACTAAAAGAAGGATGAAGCACGGCTTCCACCTCCCAGCACTGGTAGCCCAGTTTGGCAACATGGGGCCTGGGCAGAGCCATGGCCACCCACCATGGGGACAGCTGGCACAGCAGAGTCCCTCCCTCCCTCCCCACAGCCGGATCGGGCAGCATGGGGGGCTCTCCTACCTTTGTGAAGGTACCAAAGGGCGACCAGGAGGCTGCCGGCCAGGCCGAGGAGCAGGAGCAGCCAGGCTGTGGAGGTGGCTTCTGCCCAGGAACAAAAGAGAGAACAATGGCAGAGACTCACGACCCTGGCCACGCTGGCATCACGTGCAGGGGACAGGGACACATCCCAGGGGGCAGGCGGTGACCCCGCAACCACAGTCGGGCTGCAGGACATTTCATGGGGGCCACTGGTCCCACTGAATTAAAGGCCAAATTTAGATTTACCCCAGACACCCCAGCATGAGGTTTCCACTGATACTTGGCCTGACGTGATGTCCTCATTCAGTTCTCTCTGCAAGGTTTAGCTCTTATGTTGCACAAGACAAAAAAAAACCCCAAACCCTCATATTTCAAAGCTGTTTGAGGGAGTTCTCTGCTTTGCTAAGAGATGCTTCAAAAAAGACCCAGCTCTTACTAATGAAAAAGACTGTTAATTATGGCCAGGAACTGGCTTCCCTCAGAAATTGATATCTTGGTAAAAAAAGCGGTCTGCTTCATTTATTGAATTTGAATCAAGGAGTCAGTTTAGTTGTTTTTATCAAGCTGTCAGAAAGTCTGATGAAAAATTGATTCTTTTTTGGATTTTTTTTTTTTTTTGAGAAGAGCAGTGGAAGGGAAGAGTGAGAAAGGGGGAAGATCAGTAGGAAGTTCCCTCCCCACCCCGCAATCCCAGGGGTGCAGTTGCAGGGGACGATGTCCCGGGCGAGCAGCGTACCTCGCACCTCCACAGCCACGCTCCTCCTGACGGGGGACGGCAGGCTGGCGTGGTCCACCCAGCACGTGTACCGGTGCCCGTCGTCCTTCAGGGAGGCGGTGAGCAGGAAGTATCTGGAGAAGCTGTAGGTGCCGTTGCTGCTCTGCCGGTGGCTGCTGGAGAGAACGTTCTTCACGACATCGGGGACCTTCCAGGAGTCCTTGGGCTCCCGCAGCCACTGCACGTGGATGTCGTGAGGGTAGTAGTGCCTGACGGTGCAGACCAGCTCGTGCTGCTCTCCTTCCACCAGCGACAGGGAGTTAACGTTGATGGTCACCGTGGGTTTTTCTGGTGAGTGAAAGTTTATTACGCTGCTGTCTCTCAACGCACAAATTCCATCTCCAGCATTAAACAAAACCAAACACAGTTTTCTATGCTGTATCTGAGCACTCTCCATCAGTCTTAAAAACAATAAAATCCCAAGCCCATGGTGTTACCTTCTATTTGCAGCTGGATCATCTGTTCCAGGGTGAGGGAGGCCACTGACACCAAGCAGGAGTAGGTGCCTTCATCTCTCACTTCTATATTTCTGAGCAACAGCGAAGCGTTTCCCTTGGGGATTTCCTCCAGGACCATCTCAGCTCGGGGGGCCAGGCCTTCCCCCCGCCTGCTGGCCCCGCTGTAAGCCAGCAGCCGCTTTCGGTGCCCCCCCTTCTGCTGCAGCACCCACTGGACGGAGACCTCTGCGGGGTGGTCGGTGGAGAAGGTGCAGGGCAGCCAGACGTCCCGGGCCAGCCCCGAGCGGCAGCAGGCGGGCGAGCTGTGAACCAGCAGTGGGGCTGGGGAGACACGGTGAGGGGTGGGGGGACACGGTGAGGGGCTGGGGGAA